TCCCCACTCTCCCCAGCCACTCCTTCCCCCCCCTCCTTCCCCCCTCTTTCCTTTTCCTACCGCAATCACCCCCTCCTCCGCCTTTCTCCGCCTCCCCAACTCCCCTCCCCCTCCACCCCCCTCTCCCCTCCCCAGGTACGCGGGTCCGACGCGGGCAACCTAGCAGCAACGCGGCGGGCGCAGCGCGACCTGTGGGAGCGGCAGTTCCCCGCATCGTGCAAGGAGCGGAGGCTGGTGCTGATAGAGTGGTCGCCGTTGGAGCGGCACGGGCTGGGGTCGCAGCTGCACATCATGACGGCGCTCTTCAGCCTCGCCGTCAGCTACAACCGCACCTTCGTGCCCATGCCCGGCACCTACATGCGCGCCAACCACTCCGAGTGCCAAGGTGGGTTGGTGGGTGCCGGGTTGCTGGGTGGGTGGGTGGTGGTGGATGGGCGGGTGGGTGGTTAAGTGGGCGGGCGTCAAGTGGGTTGCAAGACACCAGCATGTGGGGAGGTACACGTGAGGGGCAGTATGAGTGGTAACCACGACCACACCGAGATGCTCCTATCTCTCGCCCTCGCACCTCCATCTGTGCACTCTCTACCCCCCTTTTCCACGGTGGTCAAGCCGGCCATGTTTGGGTGTTGCATCTTTTCTTGGTGGGGCAAGGATTGCGAGGACTTGCAACTCTCCCCTTCTCTCCTTCTTTTCTATCCCTGTCGCTTGCTCTCCTTTCCGTCTTCCTTCCGAAGTCCTCGTTCCGTGTTCCCTGTACCCCTTTCACTTTTTCCCCTTCCCCCTGAGAAATCCACTATTGTAGCAGCTTGATAGAGATTGTGAGCACGATTCGAACGCACGAAAGATTGCAGAAAACTGTCAACTTAGCCGAAGAAACACACAAACAAAGCAATGATAGTGACTTATTTGGTTTCTGGTTTGTGCTCTTCGGTTTTATACTAGAATGCAACACAAAAACAAATCACACAAGAAATTGTCGACCTGGGTCGCACGCCGAATTTCGTCGACGCGAAATTCCGGACCTTGAATTTCCCCGGGCGAATTCCATTGACTGGAATTCTGTAGAAGAGGATTTTCGCGACCAAAATTCCGCCGACACCGACTGTAACTCACGTGCAAATTTTATTGACCTCGACACTTCGCTGCCAAGTTTTGATCCGAACAAGACCCTAGACCGATTTCGTCAAACTGTCCAAAACTGTCCCTAACCTTTCATGAAAGTACTCTTTTGAGACACTTGAATCGAAAGGTTCCCTGTTCGAAACTCGCGTGCACCATAATTAGCGCCTTAGCACAACATATTATGCATCTGACTCGTGATACTTTCAGGACAGATTGAAAGTCACGAGTTCGAATCCGAGCGCCGGCATTTTGTTGCGCGTGGCAGCATTTCCTTCCAACATCCTCTTCCTCCTCCCCCCTCCTTTCTCTCTTCCTCCTTCCCTCTTCCCTGCCCCCTAACCCCGCGATCCCTATTTACCTTCCCCCACCCCATCTCCTTCCTCCCCCCAACCTACCTCTCCCAGCCATAGGCAAAGCGTCAACCTTCGAGTGCTACTTCTTCCCCATGGTATCCAAGGAGTGTGAGGACATAGCCATGGCGGAGCACAATGCAGGCCGCATCCCGCCCTGCCCTGACTTTCGGGACCTAGAAGGGGCGCTCAGGTCTGACAGCCCCGTGGTGTGCGCTAAAGACGAGGACTACAACCGCCTTCGCTTGCGCGGGGATGCTGCCAGGTGCGTCAGGGCGAGCGGTTTTTTGTGGGGAGGAGGCGGCTCAATCAAAGATGGATAGTTTCCCCAAGGTGGACGGAGCACAAGTTCTTGGCCGCCCCAGAAATTCATCTTGCCAGGCAGACAGCCTCGTGCTGTGAGCTAAGGATGCGTATGAGTCGTTGCTGGGACGTTTGAGTCGACTTAGGCACGTTGCTGAAAGGCCGCATTGGCACATGCGATGCTCTCCTCTCCTCCTTTTCCCCTTCCCTTTCTCCCTCCTCTCCCCTCCCTTTTTCCCTCCTTTCCCGCCCTCCTCCCGCTCCATACTCTCTCCTTTTCCCCCACCCTTTCTCCTACCCTTTTCCCCTCCCTTCGTCCCTCCCCGGGCCTCGCCGTTGCCCGTCTCCCCCCCTCCTATGGAGCTGGACTGGACCACACACACGTACCTACAACGGTGGTGAAGCTTACAACTTGTCAATCCGACTCAACACATTCCTTGGGCCCCCACCCCTGTCCTGTCCTCCCCTCTTCCTTTCCTGCCCTCCGTGCCGGTAACCCTGTCCCTCCCTCCCAAGGAGTGGGGCGACGCATACCTGCAGAGGCGCAACGTGGTGGAGCTGACAGGCTCGTTTGATTCAACTCAACTCAAAACACCCCTTTCCCCCTGCACTTCCTATCACCCCTGCCCCTTCCTTCCCCGCCCCCCCTATCTCTGTGCTTCCCCTCCCAGGGAGGGGGGGATGCATACCTGCAGCGGCGCAACGTGGTGGAGCTGACAGGCTCGTTTGATTCAACTCAAAGCACTCCTTTTCCCCCTGCTTCCTATCGCCCCTGCCCCTTCCTTCCCCGCCCCCTATCCCGGTGCTTCCCCTCCCAGGGAGTGGGGCGATGCGTATCTGCAGCGGCCCAACGTGGTGGAGCTGACCGGCTCCATGCAGCCAGTGAACCCCGCGCAGCGACAGGTGGGGTGGGCTGTCATGGCCACAGGTGGGGTGTGTCATGTGATGGCCACAGGTGGGCTGTGTGTGATGGCCACAGGTGGGCTGTGTGTGATGGCCACAGGTGGGCTGTGTGTGATGGCCACAGGTGGGCTGTGTGTGATGGCCACAGGTGGGCTGTGTGTGATGGGCACAGGTGGGGTGTGTGTTGACCTCAGGTGGGGTGTGTGACGTGACAGCTCAACACACAGGAGCGTGTGGGGCGATGCATACCTGCAGCGGCCCAGCGTGGTGGAGCTGACAGGCTCCATGCAGCCAGTCAACCCTGCGCAGCGACAGGTGGGGTGTGGTGATGGCCACAGGTGGGGTGTGTGATGGCCACAGGTGGGGGTGTGTGATGGCCACAGGTGGGTGTGTGACGGCTCAACACACAGGAGCGTGTGTGAGAGGCTGGGTATGGTATTTGCTGGACTTATAACGCTTCATGCAGCTGATTCGCCCCATGCAGTGACAAGTGGGTTTTTGAAATGCGGTGAAGCATATATGCTTTACGAGTCCATGCAACCCGATACCCTGTCCTGTCCATGACTTTCTGTGTGCGTTACGGGTCACTCTCTACTCTTGCCTCTTATTCTCTTTTAAGTCGACTCGAAGGTCACTTCCCCCCTTCCCTCCTCTCACCTCCTCTACATCCCCCCTCCTTCCCCCCCACCCACACCACACCACACCAGGTGCACTGGTGGCGAGCGCAGGCAATCCGCTTCATGCTGCGCTGGCCCTCGGCATACATGTGCCACATCACCAACCGCGTGCGCCACAACGCGTACGGCCAGCAGGTCGCCATCCACATGGTCAAGGCGGCAGCGGAGCAGGAAGCCATCATTAAAGCCCTCAGACCTGACGACGCTCACAAGGGCCTCGCCATCAACTACGGGCAGGAGATCAACACGCTCTCCCACATGAATTTCTCCGCGCCGAACCTCGAGACTGAGGTCTGGCCGGGCCTGGACTATGCTGGGTGTTCGCTGGACAACCATACGGATCCTGAGGCGCCAAAGCACGCGGCTGATTCGGTGTATGAGGGGGTGGGCGGGGAGCCGTATATCCCTCGCCCGATTGTGAGCATGCACGTGCGGCAAGGGGACAAGGCGGGCGAGATGCGGCTCATCTCCTTCCCCTCCTTCATGTTCATGGCCAACAGGCTCCGACGGAGAGTACCCTTCCTCAAATACGTCTGGCTCAGCACTGAAATGCAGGTCAGCCAGGGGCCTATGCTTCATGGAATTGAGCTTGCTTCCAGAAATTCTTCGCTGTTCGTTTCTTCTTTTGCCTTGTCCTCTCACCCGGCGCGCTTCAACTCAACTCACTCCTCCTCATGTCCCTCCGGCGCCCACATTTCTCCCTCTTTCCTTCCTCCAATGGAAGTTTGTTGGATCAATGGCAGCAGTTATAAGGCCCACACATCTCCCCTGTCCTTATAATGCCAACTTTCCAGCCTATTGTGCCTTTCGTCGCCACCGTTTCTCCGCCCCGCTGTCCCTCCTGAGTGTGGCGGAGCAGTCACAGCAACACAAAAACCAAGCCTCTTTCTGCTCCAGTTGTTTAATTCACTCACCATTCATCTCGTTTTATTCTTTGACTTCCCCACACCCCTCTCCTCCCTCCCACCCTTTCCCCCCCACCATTCCTCCTTCCAGAGCGTGGTAGTGGTAGCCAGTCACAGCAATACAACGACTGGACCTTTCTTTACTCCACTTGTAAACCCAACAGTCATCGCATTTCATTCTTGCTCTCTCACCACCCCTCCTCCTTCTCCCCCCTATCTCCCCCTCTCAGAGCGTGATAGACCAGTCACAGCAGTACAAGGACTGGGCGTTCCTCTACTCCACAAACCCACGGCAGAACGGCACAACGTCCATCTTTGAGTACGAGCAGACGGCAGGAGTGGCCAAGCTGGCAGGGATCAGCCTGGCCAACCTGCTCATCTCATCGCAGGCCGATTTCATTTTGGTTTTGAGACGTCTCAATGCATTCATTCTTGCTCTCCCACCCACCCTCCTCCCTCTCCTCCCCCAATCACTCCCTCTCAGAGCGTGATAGACCAGTCACAGCAGTACAAGGACTGGGCCTTCCTCTACTCCACAAACCCGCGGCAGAACGGCACAACCTCCATCTTTGAGTACGAGCAGACGGCAGGAGTGGCCAAGCTGGCAGGGATCAGCCTGGCCAACCTGCTCATCTCATCGCAGGCCGATTTCATTTTGGTTTTGAGACGTCTCAATGCATTCATTCTTGCTCTCCCACCCACCCTCCTCCCTCTCCTCCCCCCAATCACTCCCTCTCAGAGTGTGATAGACCAGTCACAGCAGTACAAGGACTGGGCGTTCCTCTACTCCACAAACCCGCGGCAGAACGGCACAACGTCCATCTTTGAGTACGAGCAGACGGCAGGAGTGGCCAAGCTGGCAGGGATCAGCCTGGCCAACCTGCTCATCTCATCGCAGGCCGATTTCATTTTGGTTTTGAGACGTCTCAATGCATTCATTCTTGCTCTCCCACCCACCCTCCTCCCTCTCCTCCCCCCAATCACTCCCTCTCAGAGCGTGATAGACCAGTCACAGCAGTACAAGGACTGGGCGTTCCTCTACTCCACAAACCCGCGGCAGAACGGCACAACGTCCATCTTTGAGTACGAGCAGACGGCAGGAGTGGCCAAGCTGGCAGGGATCAGCCTGGCCAACCTGCTCATCTCATCGCAGGCCGATTTCATTTTGGTTTTGAGACGTCTCAATGCATTCATTCTTGCTCTCCCACCCACCCTCCTCCCTCTCCTCCCCCCAATCACTCCCTCTCAGAGCGTGATAGACCAGTCACAGCAGTACAAGGACTGGGCCTTCCTCTACTCCACAAACCCGCGGCAGAACGGCACAACCTCCATCTTTGAGTACGAGCAGACGGCAGGAGTGGCCAAGCTGGCGGGGATCAGCCTGGCCAACCTGCTCATCTCATCGCAGGCGGATTTCTTCGTGGGCGCGCTGGGCTCCAACTGGAACCGCCTCATCAGTGAGCTCAAGGCCACCAGTGGACGGCTCTATGCCGGCTATGCGTCCGTGAATTTCGACGAGTGGTAGTCGAGCGATGGATGTTGATTCTGTGCTGTACTGTGTTGGTTGATGTACTCTCAAGGATGGTGTGTGGATATGCATTACTGGTTCTGTAAGTAAACCCCCGGATATAGTGGTGGTTGTACTGAACTTGCATATTGTTTTGACTTCAAAATAATCTTCTGACCCTGTGCCTTGCAGTTGGACAGTTGAATTGAATATGCGGGGCAAGATATCAGATGCCTGCTTAGTTTTTGGTGCTGCAGCCTTCAATTCTATACTCTCATCAAAGCAGTAGAACCTGAGGGCATAATGTTCAATGCATTCCTGCCAAAACATGAACAAATCTGAAGATAGGCATGTGTAACCATGTTTAGCTGATGCTGCTGCTCCAACATAATCCATAAATAGTATAATCTCAAGACAACAAAAAATTACACATTCGATCTGTTTACAAAGCTGCACATCCCGATCCATGGATCCAAGGTGGTGTGTATGAGTGGCAGCTGGTCTTTTGGAGGAGTCTGGCTGTTGGCTGGGTGTGTGACACGGCACAGATGAGAAAGGTAAAGCAGGAAAATGTGTGCCTGTGTGTGCATGGGAGTGGGAACCTGTGATGCATGCTGCTGCGCACTCGAGCCTCGAACTGATCGCCATCGTCCTTTCTCAAACTCACCTTTTGCCCTGTATACTTTTGTCACTACTGCCTTCAGCAGCCTGTTATGAATGACAGCAAGTGGCAACAAAGTGAGATGAGCGATGAAGACATCTTTTCCCCCCAACTGGAAGGGGTTTGAGTGGGATCCAGGCAATAAAGACTTTCACTCCATTCCATCTCACCCACTTCAGGTAGTGGGCTGCACTGTGTCACTGCAGATCAACACAGTCCCTGCACCAGCCAAGATGAAGGGCACAAGTGAAGGGCAGGCATAACATGAACAATGGGAAGGGCACAATTGATGGGAGTAACGTATGGATGTGGTATGGAAATGAAGAGTGGGATGAGGAGCACGGCACAGCTGCCCCTATACTATATTTTGTCAGAATCCCAGTCACTAACCACTGGGATAAAAGGGCTTGTTTATATAGCGGGTGAGTGCGCCCATAACCCCCCAGGCCGACGTGCCTGTAACCCTTCCCTAGGATCATCGGGGATCCCCAGTGGACCTCTGACACCCCCCCGCACTGGGATGCCCGAAGTGCACACACCGGGAATCGAACCCGAGACCTTCGCTCTGATACCATGTCAGAATCCCAGTCACTAACCACTGGGATAAAAGGGCTTGTTTATATAGCGGGTGAGTGCGCCCATAACCCCCCAGGCCGACGTGCCTGTAACCCTTCCCTAGGATCATCGGGGATCCCCAGTGGACCTCTGACATATTTTCCCGCGAGAACACACCATTTGGGCCTATTCGATATCACTGGGATCAAAACTCACAGACATGGCTGGATAAGTGGTTAACATACAGAACGCTTCAATCATAAGCTGACCTGTTGTCTTCCTTGCGTCCTTGTGACTACAGCATTGTGACTACAGCCTTGTGACTACAGTCTTGTGACTACAGCCTTGTGACTACAGCATGTGAATCAAGCCCTGCCCTTCATCCAGATGACAGCTGGCAGGGTATGGGATGAGGTATCGGAAGGGGTATGGGATAAGGTATCTGAAGGGGTATGGGATAAGGTATCGGAAGGGGTATGGGATAAGGTATCGGAAGGGGTATGGGATAAGGTATCGGTAGGGGTATGGGATAAGGTATCGGTAGGGGTATGGGATAAGGTATCGGCAGGGGTATGGGATAAGGTATCGGTAGGAGTATGGGATAAGGTATCGGTAGGGGTATGGGTTAAGGTATCGGTAGGGGTATGGGATAAGGAATCGGTAGGGGTACGGGATGATGTGTGCAGATGCACAGCTGTTCCAACACTACCGCTCCCGTCTAAAAATCAAAGACATGCCTTCCCATGCAGCCCACATGTAGACTAGCCCACTCAACACCTTCCAGTTTGAGGTGTTGATTTCCCTCATTCCAGCCATGATCCTTCTGTCTAAGCGCCCGACTCACCTCCCTCCACGCCATGCCATCATGAGGAGGCGACCGCTAGAAGCAGCTGAGGGGAGATCAGGGGAGTTCAGGGGAAGAGAAGGCGTGGTGAGACAGGACGGACGGCAATCCGAGTGCATGTGAATCATGTCTTCTGCTACCATCAACCAACCTCCTAGAAAGTGGGAGATACGTGATTGGGAGAGAGGGGAGGAGGGGGGAAGTGCATAGTGGGGTAAGGTGAGAGATAGCCGTGAGCCATTCAAATGAGCAGCACAGGAGGGACAGAGGGGTTTAGAGGGAAGAATCGGGTTTTAGCATGCGGTTTAGGTGATGGGGAGGGACAGCTGGTTTATGCAGCGGGTACACGGGAAGACAGATGAAGAGGGTGGGATGGATGGGGCGAAGTCACGGGCATGGCAGGATGGAGTTGTACAAATGAGGTGCTGATAAAGAGAGGAATGGGAGGATAAAGGCTGGTCCACGTGATTTGGAAAGAGCTCAAATTGGAAAAGGGGAAGGCAGAGACGAGGGAGATAAGAGGTATAGAAGGGAGGGGAGGTTGAAGGGATACAAGATGGAAAAGGAGGGGGTAATAAGGATGGAGGGAGGCTGGAGGCTGGAGGGGGTGGGAGGGAAAATGACACACGGTCCTCACACTCCTGCCGCGGGGAGGAGGGGGGGAGTGTTTCGAGACGTCGCACTACAAGCTTCTGCAGAACCATGCGGAGTGCTGACAGGCAAGCGAGGGATAGGTGGGTGGGGATGGTGGAGAAGAGAAAGGGCGGGGATGGTGCAGAGGGGAAAGTGTGGGGATGGTGCAGAGGGGATAGAGTAGGAATGGGGGCGATTGAACATAGGCACACGCCCTCGCACACCTTCAGGCTGCAGGGAGGAACAATGGGGCGGGGGGAGGGGGGGAAAGGACAGGGATAGCGCGGAGGGAAACAGGCGGCGAGGTGTGGGGGATGTCGCAGTGTGTGTGGCAGGGGTGGGAGAAGTGAGAGGGGTCGAAACATGAGCAAAATACGACTGTTAGCAATTCCTGTTGCCGCTCATTCTTTCTCGCTGTGCAAACTTCATGCTTTCATCACCAACCAAACCCCCCAATCCCCATTCCTCCCCCCCCTCCCCCCCCCGATTCTCCCCTCTCCCCACCTTTCCCCGCCCTCCACCCAGCTCTCCCCGCGCGCCTCTCCCCTCAACACGCGCGCCCCTCCTCTCTCCCCGCGCGCATCTCCCTTCTCTCCGCGCCCACCTCCCCCGCCCCTCCCAGGCGCACCTCGAGGAAGCGCCTGCTTTTGTTCTCCGTGCCCTCTTCCCTCCGCACCCACTCCTCTCCCAGACCTCTCCCAACAGACTCTCCGCCCCCACATCTTCCCTCCCCCGCGCCTTCACCCCTTCTCCGCTCCCCCCGTCGCACCTTTTACCTCGTCCGCCTTAAGGAAGGCGTCCGCCATTCCGTTGCGAAAGCAGCCGCTTTCACTTTCCATGCCCATCTGCTGCAGCCACCCCATCTCGCGCGGGTTCAATCATCAGCACCAATCGAATCCGCACGCAACATTATGCGCGGCAGCCGCGCGGAGATTGGTGAGGGATTCCCGACCTCCGGCAAGAGAGGTGTGTGTAACACGGGCTTATATGAAAACGCCCTTAAAATCACCACAAAGACCCGGGCTTATAAATGAATGCCCACAAAAGGGTCAATAGTAGGCTTATAAAACGCCAAGAACACACACACAGTAAAGACTAGTCCTAATGGTAGTCTCAAGCCTTGGAAGCTTGGTAGGTGAAGCCTTGGAAGTCAATCTTCTTGAATGAGTTTATGAAATAACTTTGAGAGAGTTGTGTAGGAAGGCTTGTGAGAGAGCCCCAAAAGGACCTTGAGAAACAATCCCATTTCCAATTTGTTTAGTTGGAGTGGGAGGTTGAGAATGAGAAGCCTTGCTTAGCTCAGACCCCCTCAATACACCCCTTGGGGAACTATCCCAACCATGGTTTCCATGGTGGGATGGTTCCTAGGCTTGGAGCCTATGTGGCAATTGTGTTGGGTTGGAAAACCCAACTTAGAACCATTCAATGGTTGTGTTTAGGATAGAGTAGATTGTAACAATTGTTTGGCAGTTTCTGATTGGTTGGAATTCCAACCTTTGTGATTTCACTTTGATGGATTGGAGTTTCCCAAACCTCTTGGTTGAGGTTTGGAAAACCAAACCAACCCCTCCATCCCAACCAAAGCCAACCTTCTTCTCCAAGTCCCTCTTTGGCCTTGTTTGATAGCTTTGCAGTCCAGGGGAACCACAGCCCTTTCACTGTGTTGCGTGGCTCGGTAAAGGCTCGGCAGCTGCGAACATGGGCTTTAATTCCTATGAGAGGTTAGGCAGATCCAAACCAGAACCAAAAGTACGTTCGGTACACCTACGAATCTGGTGTGGTAATTTTCGTTGCGGACCGCGGTCCAAACACTGTTGCCCACTGGTCAAGCAACAGTACTCACCGGGCAAAAAATACTTGGTTTCCGCTGGTAGCTCGAACGACAGTCACTGTGAAGTTGTAAACATTTCGGGCAGAAATGGTCTATTAGAATTTGTACCCGGAAACAGGCCCTACGATATCAGGATTTTTTCCCTGAAATTCCTGATTTTCAGCCTACATTTTGTCAAATGTTGTAGCCTATAGTGAGGTTTGTCTTAGGGGGTACAAAACTTAGGGTTAGCTATATGTACCCCAACCAACATCAATGCATCATCCATTCCTCATTCTGACATGGTATCAGTTAGGTTAGGATCCTGTGGGATCCCGTTCCTCCGTTCTCCGTTCGTATCTCCCGAGCCTGATCCTACCTCTCGTTCGTACCGGTTCCGTTGTTACCGCGCCTAGTGCCGAGCCTAGCGCCCTTCCCCCCGTCGCCTAGCGCCCTTTCCCCCCCGTCACGTCGCGCCCTTTTCCCCCGTTGCGTCGCGCCCGTTCCCCCCCGTC